AAAACAACCCAATGAAAAAGCAGGCAAAAGATCTCAGCAGACACCTCACCCAAGAATAGATCCAGATGAAAAATAAGCATATGAAAATATGCTCAAAATCATATGCATTAGGGAGTTGCAAATTCAAACAACAATGAGATACTACTACGCATATGTTAGACTGGCAAAAATAAAAAATACTGACGACATATCTTCAAGGTTTTGTGTGTAAAAATTTTTTTTTAAATACTGACAACATCTAACTGCTGGCAGGGATGCAGGACAACAGGAATTCTCATTCATTGCTGATGGAAATGCAAAATGGTACAGCTACTTTGGAAAAGAGTTTGGCAGTTTCTTACACAAAACTAAGTGTACTCTTACCATAAGATCCAGCAATCATGCTCCTTGGTATTTGCCCAAATGAGTTGAAAATTTGCATGCACACAAAACCATGCACATTAATGTTTATAACTTCTTTCTTCATGATTTTCTAAAGTGGGAAGCAATCAAGAGGCTCTTCAATAGGGGAATGAGTTTTTGTGTTTTTTTTTTTAACTGTGATACGTTCATATAGTGGAATATTATTCAGCAATAAAACAAATAAGGTATCACGCCATGAAAAGACACAGAGAGGCCAGCCACGGTGGCTCACAGCTGTAATCCTAGCAGTTTGAGAGGCTGAAGCAGACAAATCTCTTGAGCTCAGGAGTTTGAGACCAGCCCCGACATTTTTCTGTCTCTTCAGAAAAATACAAAAATTAGCAGGGCGTGGTGACACATGCCTGTGGTCCCAGCTACGCAGGAGGCTGAGGTGGGAGGGAGGATTTATTCAATTGTAAGCTGTGATCACACCCCTTCATTCCAACCAGAGTGATAGAGCAATACCCTATTCAAAAAAAAAAGAGAGAGAGACAGAAAGAGAAAAAGAGGAAAGAAGGAAAGAAAGAAAAAGAAAGGAAGGAAGAAAGAAAAGAGAGAAAGAAAAACAGATATTAGGTATTGGTTTATGCAATAACTTGAATGCATCTCCCGGGTTTTTTTGTTGTTTTATTTGTTTTTGTGTGGAAAACTGGTTCAGTCGCCCAGGCTGGAGTGCAGTGGCATGATCACAGCTCATTGCAACCTCAACCTCCCAGGCTTCAGTGATCCTCCCACCTCAGCATCTGGAGTAGCTTTGACCACAGGCCCAGGCCACCACGCCCAGCTAATTTTGCTTTGTTTTGATTTGGTTTTTGGCTTTTTTTCTTTTTGGTAGAGTCAGAGGCCTCCCTATGTTGCCTGGGCTGGCCTCAAAACCTGAACTCCAACAGTGCTCCTGCATCGGCTTCCCAAAGGGCTGACATTATAGGCATGTGTCACTGCTCCTGGCCTTGGAATCTTAACTCCATATTGCTAGACAAAAGTCAACCTTTCTTTATTATTATTATACTTTAAGTTCTCGGATACGTGTGCAGAATGTACAGGTTTGTTACAAAGGTATACATGTGCCATGGTGGTTTGCTGCACCCATCAACCTGTTATCTAGGTTTTAAGCCCCACATGCATTAGGTATTTGTCCTAATGCTCTCCCTCTCCTTGCCCCCCTACCCCCTAACCAGCCCCGTGGGGAAATTGCCCACATTCAACTTTTGAAACTACCAAATGCATCAAATCAGTGAATATTTTCTTGAGCAATTTCTAGCATTTAAGAGATTTTTTGTTTCTTCCAGTCTGTTGTACTGTTAGGAAGAGATGTGTTTTGTGGAATATGTTGACAGTGGGGGTTGGCTCTCAGTTCAGGCTAGACTCTTACCTTTGGTAATTTGAAATAACTTTTTATTTGCTCAGGCAGTGATAATTAATTTGTAGGTCAATAGATCCAAAGGAGTATTTGCAAAAAAGGAAAAAAAGAAGGAAAAATCTGGATGACTTTAATAGCTTTTCTGCAGAGCACACGTGTGTGAATGCAGTGAGGGAACTGTGCTGAGGTTTTGTCAATGGTGGCATGTAGAAAAGCAGCCCGACAAAGTGGGGCACTGAGTGTTGGCATCCTGTTGTCCTCCACTTTCTCAGGTAGGCAATGCAAATTCGGGGGAGAAGAAATATTGACGTTTTGGTGAATTGCCTTTCCCCTCCCCGGGTTTACCTAGCATTCACTCAGTGCCGTTCTAAAGGGAAAATGACCACTCTCACTCATCAATCAGGAAAAAGGCATGATGTTCTCATCTATTTTCAAACCTTTCAGCATGAATATCTCCAAAAAGCTTTTAATAGACATTTTCTCCCACTGTTTTGTAAAGATAGTAAGGGCTGTTACATAAAACCAATACTGGGAATAGGGATCTAATGTTGGCCCACAGCACATTTAGCCCACTTTTGTTATTGCTTATGTTTATGAACTTTGACCATTGGTACATTGGAATAACTTCTAAACAAGCAATATTACGGTAGGCTCAAAATTTAGACTATGTATTCATGAGGGAGAAGGACTACAAATAGTAAGATGGGAGAAGGAAATGGGGCATCAAACAGGAAGAGGACCTTTGTCCTGTAAAATTTGCAGTTTAGAAACTTCTGGAATGATAAAAATACAATGGAAACATCATTACATAGAAGCTGGAGTGATAGTGTTGTTTAATGGACAGGTTTTATTCTTTTAACAGTTGGTAGGTGTTTAGGAGTAGTGTTTTTTGATACTTCCTCCACATTACTACTGAACATCTTCAGAGATGCCTACTTGGACTTTCCCACTTTGGGAATGCTGATGAGATTGGGATCTTCTGCTTGAGTAGCGGGGCTAGATAGCTGAAGGCATCCTGCAGAGCTGAGCAATCAGGTCTCTGTCCCAGAACCCGGGACTGTAGGGAGAACCAAGTGAGCTGACCTTGTCCTGAGCCCGCGAAGGTTTGGAGGGAGGGATGGGTTGGAGCATGCAGAATTAGCAATGCTTCCTTCCCCAACTCTCCACTGAGCAAAGCTTTCCGAGAATTTTTGTGAATTTGGACAACATTTGTGTCCTCCTTCCACAAAACTTCCAGCTGAAGTATGAAGATGGTGTCCAGGGCTTCAGATACCCCCGTTTCCCAGCAAGACAATCCACAAGCTCCCTGGGCCCCCTGTGACCAGACATGCTTTGTAATACCATCTTTTTAATTCTCAAGAAGTTTTGGAGATGAATGATCCCTTAGAATTTCTTGAAGAAAAGAAAACTTGTTTTAAAATACAATGTACTCCTATCTGTTTTTTACTTCACACTGAAGATGGTCTTTTCAAAAATGGGGCCTGTTCCCCTTGATATGACTTTAAAAGGAACCCCCCATTTTTTTTTTCCAAGCTCAGCTTCCCCCACGACCGGGGTAACAGTGGCCTAGTAAGTAAGAGTTGGTGACAGCTGGATAGCTGATGGTCAGGTGTCCAGAAGCAGATGAACCACACATAGCAATAGCAGTGGGGACCAAGTCATCGGCTACACCCGTACCCAAGAGTGAAAAAAGTAGTATTACAGATAGGAGGAGAGAGAAAAAGAAATGAGCCAAGCCAGAGCATAGGTAGCACACCCTTGGAGCTCACTGGGGGAAAGGTGTGGTGTTCACCTTTCTAAATATTTTATTAGTGAAGAAGTAGCTTGTCTTGATGCAATTGAAAACATTAAGGACATAGAGAGATGCCTGTTGTGGTTTTTCCATGATAATATGAATTGTTCAGTATACTAAACCTGTTTCTTTTTTCCTCTGATTCAAGATTTGGTTTGAGAATAGAAGAGCCTGCTGGAAGAGACGTCAGAGGGCATCAAGATTGAGAAACACGTCATGCCCCATTCGCATGGGCCAGCTTGTCATTGTACCATTGCTTATCCCCTATAATACCATCCTTATCCAGGGGTGGTATGGAAGATGGTTTGTTCTGGAGCCACAGCCATTCTGGCAGCCTGTGTTCCCCATGCCACCTTTTCCTCCTTTTTTCTTTTCTCTTTCACCCTTGTTTCATCCACCTATGCCTCCCCCTGTCCAGGCCCAATTTGGCCCATTCTTTTTTGTTATTGTCCATTTCTTCGTATTCTCCGTTGTCTAAAGGGATAGTCTCTGTGCCACTTTTTGCCAGAGTGTCTTTGAGCCCAGATTCATATTTTGCATAGCACCCCATCAAGAGCTCATCAAATATCTATTAAATATATTAACAAAAAGTACAGGTACATTGACCCATTGACCCTGAGAGTTGTTCCTTTAGTATGCAAATTTAGTACTATCTAGCTGACAAATGCCTAGGGTAATGAAACAATTTACCATGAAATTGGACGTCTGAAATAGGAGGAATAAAAAAGAGGTCTTACAAATCTATAACACCTACTTCTATGCGCATGTCTAATACATTTATGTATTATTGGTCACCTATACAATGTTTCATGACCAAAAATTTATAAATGAGCTCTGATTAATTGGCCTAAAGAAAAATAAGCACTTAAATACTATATCTGAAGAATAGAAATGTTAAGCCTAAATGCTTTTTCAAGTTCATGTGACTTTAGTAAATATTTAATAAATGACCTGGTTTTGAAACTATTGGTAAAATATAATTAGAAATGTCTTCAGAATTGTCAATATATATTATTCTTTAGATTTCTCAAGCAGTTTACTATGTACCTCTGGCAGATATTAAAAGGTGTCAACATTTGCATGAGTGTTATAAAGCATTATGAAGCTTGCAACCAAAAGGAGAATTAGCTTTGTTTTTGTAATTTTTTACATAAATAAGCATTTAACATTGTTGGTTTAATAAAAACGACTAAACCCTGAGTTATTGGCCAAAAAAAACCTCATTTATTTAGCCTTATGTGTCTTACTTAAACACCTGAAAAACACAGATATCAATACTTTTAAATGATTGCCACAGTTTTCCTAAGTAATCTCCATAAACTAAAAATTAGTTAAGTATGTAAATATAATGGAATACATGCTTGTAAATAAACTTAGGTAATTTAAAGTCTAAAGTTATACTTAATCAAATATTAAACATTAATTATATGTTTGCATCATTTTCAATTTTTTTTTCTTTCAAATAACTTCACTTTAATTTAAATTCAAGCCCAAACATTCTGGGAGGTAAACAGTCTCTTGGTACCTACAGGGCCCGAGAGGCAAGTCAACCTCCTGGAAGAGTAGAGTGCTGGCATCTGAGCACTCCACATTTAAAGCAGGGTCTTGGACCGGAGAACCCTGAGCAGCCGGAAGACAAAAGACTTCCTCAAGGTTCAGGAGGAAGGTACCATGGACATCCTTGAAAGAGGGCCCCAGAGAAAACCTTGTAGGCTGGGCGGGGAAGAAGCCATTTCTGAGTGTGATTCAAGACAGTGAACAGAGAGCAGCTCAAGGCTCAGGGGAACCCCCTGGGTTCCCTCGTGCTCCACCAGAACTGCCACCAGCCAACCAGTCAGATGGCTCTGGCATGGGCCTGACCACACTCTTAAAGATGCTTAGCCAGGAGGGCGTGCTCATATTTTCAGTGGAAAGGTACTTGCTACTGAAGAAAATCCTGAGGAAGCTGACGCCAGAATCCAGAACTCTTAGCTTTGAACTTTTTACAATGGGTTCTTCCAAGTGAAATGTGCTGCATGTCTAACAGCAGCAACGACCAGCCCTGAAAACGGGTTGAGAGGTCCTGGTGGTCCACGTGTCCTGTGTACTCCCACTAACGTGCTTTCCCATGGAAGCCTGCCTGAGGGCCACGGCTCTACCCAAAGTGAACCAGCAGGTTCTGGTCACATTCAAATGAGGCGCAGGGTCAGCTTTGAGATTTGGGAATGCACGCTCAAACTGCTGCCACCAGCAGTTAAGTGGAAGGTCATCCGGTCGCTGTGTTCAACCAACAGATTCTTCTTCGGTTTCCAAAGAAACGCCAGCCTGTTGTCCTCTGGCCTGATGTTCCTCATCTGCTATACAGCAGAGGAGTTTGGGCTCAAGCTGCCCCCATGTAAAGTGCTGGGTGCCCGGGGCTGCACTGGGGTCAGCTGTGGGCCTCATGGGTTCAGAAAAGGGGAGCCTGCAGGCAGCCCCACCTGAGAAGAGCTTGTGTTACCAGGAAATCACTTATGGCTTGTCGGTCCAGCAGGAAAACACTGCCCCCGTACCCTACAATAGCTTTTGTACGGAAAGGGAAGAACACTCACAAAATAAAAGGAAGTTCTCCAATCTCACAATAAGCTCCAAACTGAACAGGTAAAGGCTGAGCATCCACTCAGTGTGTGACTTGCAGGATTAAGTTAAAATGGACACATTTGCTTCCCCCATGATCCGATATAAGACTGTTACTATTGCTTCTTTCAGAGGACCATGAAAAGAATTTATATCTTAAAAAAGGAACTAAATTTGTTTAAAAAGGAGCAACAATGGGGAAGTGGCTCCCCTCCCCCAAGTCATTTTGGCTGGTGCACTGTCTGGACATCTCAGACTTTCAAAGCCTCTCAGCTTCAAGATACATCCCTGAAGATCCATCCTCTTTCTGTGGGGAAATTCAAAATCCTTTTCTTTAGGACTTTGTCCAGGTACCTGGGAAGGCGGCTTTTGGAGGGGATTCCCTGTCGCTTCTGGAGGTGGTCTTTAATTATAATAGTCTTCACAGTCACGTAGCGGGCTGGACTCAAGTTTAAAGAGCTGCACAGCACCTTCTCACGATCCGACAGCAGCTCGAAGCCTGGAAGGTTCTGGATGGCGGCGAACTCGCTGTCTTTGCCATCCTCCTTTCCCCGCCTGGAGCCCGCTAGGTTCTTGTTCTCCTTCCTCTTCTCCAGTTTGTGCCACGCGGCCTCGTACTCTGCCAACTCTTCCATCTTGGTGATGCCATTTCGCCAGTACCGCTGCAGCTCTCGGATCTTGGCCCTGAGGATTTTTTCTTTGTGCATGTTTTCAAAAAGGTCATCATACTCCTTGCATGACATGAACTGGTACAGAGGCCTCAGCTTCAGGCGCTGCTCCTTCTCCTCCTTGGTGATCTTGCACTTCAGTGCCTTTTCCTTCTCCTTCTTGTCCTTCCCCAGGAAGGCTGGCACCAGATTGTAGTCACGAGCAATGTTCTTCCGCCGCTGTCTCTCTTTCAGCTTCCGCACGTACATGTCCACGCGTGCGTGCTTCAGCTCGATCTCCACATCGTCGTTGTCATAGTTGACCGAGAGCCCACTGATGAGTGTCTCAGCATCCTGGTCATAGTCAATGTCGTAGTCGTCCCGCAGGGGCATGTAGCCCAGCTGCTGCTGCTCGGCCACAGAGATGTCCAGTGGGGGCAGCGGGGTGGTGAGGCTGGGTGAGAGAGGGCCCCCACTGGGACAGGTGTGATCTGTCAAGCAGTTTGGGATGGTGTCTGGGATGCCGGCCTTCCCTTCCCCAGGTTCCCGTAGATGTACATGCTCACGTAATGCTCCATCACCTCTTGGGGAATCCTCGAAGCACCAACGTGGGCAGCCATATCTTCCCAGTTTCTGAAGCCGAACTGCTTGATGGCGTCCAGCAGCAGCTGCTCCTCGCGGCTGATCCAGCCACCCTCGGCCTCAGGCCCCCAGGCGTGAAGCACCCGCTGTCCACCAGCTGATAGCCGTGGTAGCGGCGGTGGTGGCCAATCTCAGCGCCGGCCGAGAAGCACTCAGAGCACAGCTCGGTGTCCTGGCACTCGGTGCAGCAGAAGCGCAGCGGGCTCACCTCAGCCAGGCAGTACACACAGTACTTCTTCCCCAGTTCTGCCATCTTCCCCCGCTCTGTGCCCACCGCAGGGCCCGCTGCCTCTGCCGCCGCCGCCGCGCCCCTTGTCGTCAGCGCCCCACCGCCCGCGGGACCTGCCACCGCCACCGCGGCCCCCAACTTTTTAAACAAATTATTGGAAGGCCGGGCATGGTGGCTCAAGCCTGTAATCCCAGCACTTTGGGAGGCCGAGGCGGGTGGATCACAAGGTCAAGAGATCGAGACCATTCTGGTCAACATGATGAAACCCCGTCTCTACTAAAAATACAAAAAATTAGCTGGGCATCGTGGCGCGTGCCTGTAATCCCAGCTACTCAGGAGGCTGAGGCAGGACAATTGCCTGAACCCAGGAGGCGGAGGTTGCGGTGAGCCGAGATCAGCCATTGCACTCCAGCCTGGGTAACAAGAGCGAAACTCCGCCTCAAAAAACAAAAAATTATTTAAAGGTTATTTATGAAACAAGGTAAAAGAAACCAGTCAATAAGGGAGAGATAAAGAATTTTATACATATAAAAGGTGTTTGGGGTAAGAGATGTTAAAAGGAAAAAAAATTTACATGAGAAAGAATCCTCTATGGTAAATTATTTATTTATAAATTTATTTATTTATTATTTATTTTGAGACAGAGTCTTGCTTTGTTTGCCCTGGTTGGGTGCAGTGGCATGATCCCAGCTCATTGCAACCTCCACTGTCTGGATTCAAGCAATTCTTGTGCCTCAGCCTCTGGAGTAACTGGGACTACAGGCACGTGCCAAAATGTCTGGATAATTTTTGTATTTTTTGTAGAGGTGGAGTTTTCCCATGTTGTTCTGGCTGGTCTCAAACTCCCAGCCTCAAGTGATCCACCTTCCTCGAACTCCCAAAGTTCTGGGATTATAGGCATGAGCCACCATGCCCAGGCTTGTCTTGTAAATTCTTGTGCTAAAATAAAATAACTGGTTGCTTACAAAATAGGGATGTTTAGGATAAAACAGGAAGCCCAGGCATGTCATAAACAGTTTGTGTAATTTGTAATAAGGTTTGTAAAAAGAATTTATGAGAAAAAAATAACCCTACATTATCAAGTTGGCTATAGTTAAGAGGAAATTATTTTTAATAGTCTTTCTAGAGTTTGGGCTTTGGAATGAAAAAAAACACTAATACACTAAAGAATTGGTTAGAACAACAACATTTTCTTCAGTTAACTGATTTAGGAAACTTACGACAGATTTTTATTTTTTAAACCCAAAAGTTCAACTTCTAGTGCATATCTGTGTTTCCAGCTTTCTCTCCCCTTTGACAAAGCCTGAGATAATATCTCTCTCTCCTTCACCTTCCTGAATAATCCACCCCCTGTTTAGCATAAATCAATAAATAACCATAAACACAGGTAACCGGTGGCCCATGCTGCTGCTCTGCCTATGGAGTAGACATTTTTTTATTCCTTTCTCCTATAAATGAACTTGCTTTCACTTAACCCTGTAGACTCACCCCAAATTCTTTCTTGTGCAAGATTCTATAACTACCTCTTAGGGTCTGGATCAGGACACCTTTCTAGTAACAGAGGGAGCTCCCAGGTATCAGCAAATTTTCCTTTTGGTTTAAGCAATAAAGATAGCCCATGCTGGTACCCAACACCCATAGGAAATTTGTTCAAGGGCAGGGCCACCTCCACTCAGAGTCCCTCCAGTTTGTTGCCAATTTATAAACCAAAAAGTATGTGAGAGAAGTCTCAATCGATACAGAGGGAGAGGTTGCATGCACAGTGTGTTTACTAGAGTTGTATACATGCTCAGTTGAGGTGTTCTTCCCTCACCAGTTGAATGACCCCAGAGTATATCAGATAAAGCCTGAAATTTTGTTTCTTAATGCACATGCTTGAGCCCACTGGCCAAACTCCTGAGATCTATTGGGAAGCTGCTGATCAGTGTCATGTGTTTCCATTTATTGGGAGACTGCCTTTCCCTGGCTCTGGCTGCAACCAATTATTATTGTAGAGAGACAGTTAACAACAGCCTTGTTCCATTCAGGCCTTCAGCCGAGTGGGTGAGGCCCACCGACAATATGGAGGGCAGTCGGCCTCACAGAGTCTACCTGCTCCAATGTTTATCTCTCCTTCAATCACAGACACAGCAGGAGTAACGTGTGACCAAATTGCTGGCCACCCTGTGGCCCAGTCAGATTGATATGTAAAACTAGCTGATATAGTAGGCTTACTTGATAAAAAAGGAATGTCAGGATTTAGACAGGATTTTAGCACTTGCAGCCATCAGCCTTGCTGGGCATAGGCGAAAGGAGGAAACAATCAGGTCAGAACAGGGGAGAAGTGGAAAATAAAGATGGAAGATAAGGGAAGGGATGTTTGGGTAGGCAGGAAGGTGGAAAGAGAGGAGATGGAAAAAATAAGAGTAAAACATAAGAGAAATGTAATTCCAGAGGGAGCATGCAGAGGCCTGAGAAGAGAGGCTCCCACTTTCCCTCATTCCATTTCCCACACAACACTATGTAGACCATCACTTCCTAGAGCCTCTCAGGCAGATTATCCTGAATTCAGGAAGAAACTAACAGAGTAGAGACATGCATGCTTCTCCTGAGGAATTCTCCCTAATAAGCACTGTCTCCTTGATACATGTCACCTCCCCAGTTCTCCCAGGAGGGCACAGTGAGCTGCCTGCCCTCTCCCTTCCCTGGAGGTTTGTCCCACTCAACAGAGCTCAGGTAAACCTAGGCAAGCAGGGCACATAAAGCCCTGGATGTATATCTCCTGGAGAGCATGCACACATTCAGCCTGGATAGACTTGCCTTCATTGACAGAGGATTCCCAAAGCTTGGTCTGGAATGGTGATGACGAGGTTGTAGGCTATTCATTACTGTACAGAGCACCATGCTTTTTAAAGTGAACACAGCCTTGAATGGGGGAGGAGGTAAGTTTTGACTTACACATTTGTAAACTCCTGCTGCAGAAGCCACTTTCTGAACCTCTGGGAAGTAGCAGTCTCCCTTCCCTGAAATATTTTTGCCTGCCAGTAGTCTATGCTAAACAGCTTTCATGACTCTGTCCTCTGGGCAAACAAGAATCCCCTTCACATCTCCCATTTGAAGTCATAGCCTAGCACCTCTCACCAGGGGCTCCATGGATTCCTAAGGGAGATCTTGCTTCCTTTGCCCCAAAAGCTTAAGATGAAGGAAACTAGAGCTCTCTTCCCCTTTGGATTTCAGCTACCTTCAAGCTGTGTGTTTCCAGCTCCTGTTCTCTGTGAAGTACAGTTCCGTATCCTGTATCAACCCATTTCATTTTCTTATCAACCCTAGGAAGTGGCCATTACCATCCCCATTGTACACATGAGCCTCAGAGATGCCAGAGAGCCTGCCTAAAGTCACAAGGCTAGTCTGTGGTAGAGCTGGGATTTGAATCTTTTCTGCCTGCCTTCGCTTCTCTGTCCCCACCTCCGAATTCCCCTGCCTCGCTACTCCATGTCCACATGCTTTCTGTGTCCAGGTTCTTGAGGTTTGTGGGGTCTTCCAGAAGCAAGTACAGCACTTTCTCCTGGAGAAACAGGACATAGTTAATCACCTTCTTCTCTTTGTTATGATTGAGACCAATCGTCTTCAGGTGAGAACAATTTCCATATCTGTGTGATTAAGAGCAGGGCTTCTCAAATTGGGAATTTTGTGGACTGATAAAAATAAAATAAAACTGGGTCCCAACAATTTCCCCCATTAAGGCCATTTCAAAGGACACCATTCACTACCATAATCCTACCAGAAATTATAGTTAAACCTTATAGAGAGATGTTATGATGAACCATCTTCGATGTGTCATGTGCTAGGGCTTTATATGAATTATCTGATTCAATCTTCAGCAAAACCCTATTCAATAACCCTATTCAATAGGCATTATTACTATCCTCATTTTGTACACGGAACTGAGAAGGAAAAATATTCATTGCTCCTTAGTCTCTAGTGATAATATCATCAGACTCTCTCACATCCTTGTTTCATAAGAGACATGTTTCAAAACAAATGATCAAGCACACAAAAGAGGCTCTGACTTCAGAACTTGGAAAAGAATAAGTAAAAAAGCACAGATATTGAAGTCAGACAGCTCTCTGCTGGAGGCCTGAGCAGATGACTTAACACTTCCCAATCCCTCAGTTTGCTCAAGTGTAATAGGAAAACGTCAATGCCTACCTCACAGGGCTTTTGTGAGGAATAGACAATGTAACATACCAAGCACTTAACACAGTGACTGGCAAATAGAAAGGGGCTCAGTACATACCAGCCAAGGGACTTATCACTGCTTCTGGCACAGCCCTACATGCTCACCTCCTGCTAAGGTGAAACCACAGCATGTGGCCAAAACATGCTGTTTCTTTTACCAAGGTCAGGTAGTTTCTGTGAGTGACTGTCCTCCTCCCCTCTCTGCTACTTCCCTTCCTCAACTGAACCAAAAGGAAGGAATATTTCGGCCTTCTTTTGAGGGGGTGGCAGTTGAAATTGGTGTAGCCCTTACAAAAGTCATATTCTCTCAGATTACAGTTGGATAAAAACTCCTTCTGAAGTTTCCCCAGAAACCTCAGAACAACGATCTGGTCACTCTCTCAGTGAGCAGGGTTTGTTGGGGATGGGTAAGTCCACATAAAGGATCTCATGGTTCTCCCAATTTATCACACTTCCAAATCCACCATGCCTAGTCTCTTCCACCCATTCTGTTTGCCTGCCTTCTTATTGGGAAGGTAAGGGGAGACAAGGAACTAGGAAAGGCCAGTGGGAGGGATGCTCAGGGGTGATTTGTCTCCACAGAAGCGAAGTTAAACTTCCAGCATCTTATCAATCTGTTGGAGCCCAGGACTCCATGGGGAGGTTTTTAGAACCCACTTTAGGTGGGTTGTTCTGTGGATAATGATCCAGGCTCACTTCCTTGCTGTTGGAGGCAACAGACTTGGCTCCAATTAACTCATCAAGAGCCAACTTGCCAACAGCCAGGTCATCAAGTGACCAAGTAAAAATGCAGGCCATTCTCTGAAGGATCAAGTTGCTGTACAGTTAATTCACCAAAGCCTACA